AGTGACCTCGGTAAAATGCTCACCTTCCTTCGACTACACCGACTGAACCTCCTCGCTGGATTTTCTGGAGTCATTGACGTAAACACGTCCACCCCATGCTCACAAGTTTTTTGACTTGAATGAGGCGAAACATATCGGCTAGAGCTTTGAGAAGTCGATGAAGACATGGTTTCAGATCGTCGATTTAGGGTTTTTCGAAAATTTGGGGATTTTGCAGAAGATGTCGTCGATTGAAGGATTCTCAGTCTTATATAGGCCTTTGCGACGTGGACTATCGATTAAAAACAACAATTGACACGTCTGAAAAAAAAAAGCCACGTCGTTTAAAAAAGCCCGAAATTGGGCCCTGATCATAGATTTGCAAACAATAATGAAAGTGGTGCATAATTTTGCCAAGTTTAAAAGTGGATCATAAAAATGCAAATTTCGAAAAGGTCATGGTTTTTTAAGCAATTAGGCCTTTTTTTTTTTTGGGTACAATCATAGTTTAAACTTTAATTGTTAGAGACGTGTTGATTTTCACCCTGGGCTCGACAGCTTCATTGGGATTGGGCCGGCCGGCCCGTTTGGTACTTGAAGGAATAATGATAATGGTTTTACATTATATTAGACCTCATGCAAATTGTACAATTCAACCCAATTAAGTAAAAATTAAAATCATCTACTCAAGCAATTTTTTATTTTGGCCAACTTTAAACGTTGGGCAGATCAACCCTTCATAACTTTCTTTTTTTTTTTTTTGAATAAAATTATACTAGTACAATACAACACGGTTGTTGAGTTAAGAAATATACGATACAAGTTATTTATATCTAGTACTAAACCTAACTCCAGAGCACAAAAAATATAAAAACAACATCACGAAGTATAGATTTTTGCCATGTCATCATCCGAATCGTGAAATCTGCCACTTAAGTTCAAAACACGTTTTAAATTAATATATAGGGGACGGAATACTTATGATTCAGGTACAGTTGTCCTCTCATTTCCACGTGAACAAAGAAAATCCAAATTAGAAGGCAAGTAATGTTTATAGGTCAATCAATATCTAACTTTTATACTTATTTTATTTTTATTTTATTCAAATTGAGAGAGATTTGCAAATGAAATAAAAGAACGAGCATGCAGCTATAGATAATTGTTGGTATTATTGTATTATACACATGATATTTTAAACCACTACCACATGGCATGCTTCTGTTAACTTTATTTATGACAACACACCACCAATAAATGATTAATTGCAAGGGACCGCATCATAAATATTGCCCCTTTTCAAGTTATTTTCGCCTTCAAGGACAAGGGATAAATAAATAAATAAATAAATAAAAGTTTTAAATTTAATTAAAACAGTCTACTCATGTCATCTCTAGTCCTTATCTCTATTTTAGCGCGGACTTTACTCTACTCTAGAGTAGAGTTAACCATTCATCCCCAACCCTTATCTTTATATTTTATTCTACACCAAATATATTATTTTTTTATTAATTTTTATTTCAAATAAATTGGTTTATATATGTTTATTTAATCTTATAAAAATATTTATTACCCAAATAATAAAAATATATTTTATTTATTATATTTTCAAATGAATTCGTATATATATTTAATTTAGTTTTATAAAATAAATATATTACTCAAATAATAGAAATATATTTTATTTATTTTTATTTTAAATAAGTTGTTATATATACGAATATGTAATCTTATAGAAATGTTTGTGGTAAATTTTTATTCATATTATTTTATTTTAATATTAAAAAAAATTACAAAATAAAATTATAATACATCAATAAATAAAAAATATAAAATTATTATACATAATTTACCAATAATATATATATATATATGTATACATATCATATAAATCATACAAAATATATAAACAAAATAATAAAAAAAGGGAAAAAATCTGGGCGCAACACTCACCACAACAATGTTGCGCCAGATGTAGAGATATACTGTAGATATATTCAATCTGGCGCAAAATTGTAATGCTCCACTAAAGGAAGAAAGTGAGCGCAACTCCAGCGATATATTCTCATCTAGCGCAGCGCTGTAGATGATTAGAAAGTGAGCGCAACTTCAGCGATATATTCTCATTTAGCGCAGCTCTGTAAATGATCTCAAAAATGTAGTCCCATGTCAAAAAATCGTTTACCTAATTAATTTATCAACTATTTTTTTTTATTTTTTTTAGCTTAAGATAGCATAAGATAAAAATTACAGATAATATATAATGATTTTTAGATAACCCTTTTCACGTAAAAATACAAAATAAAATGGTGGAAGGCTGGTGTGAATTGCCAAGTTGTGAGTTGCTTATGTGCAAAGTTAAACCTAAATGATTACCAACTAATTATTATATGTTTTCTTTATTTTAATTCAAACCTAACAAAATGAAATTTAATTCCAACCTAATAAAGTGAAATTAAGTTAGAAGAAAGTTACAGTGAACCTTTCAATATTTCCAGAAATGAAAAAAGGTAAAGTATATTGAAAGTTACCAAACAGCAACCAATAAGTCAGGGAGCATGCTACGGTCCCGTTACAAAACTATTCCGTCGAGGTTAATAACCGTTAGATCAACTATATCTGACGGTTACATGATGATCTAAAGGTTACAAACCCTGGCGAAATGGTTTCGGGAACTTAGCCTTTCCTATAAGTCAGAAACTATATAATTTGCATTTCTAGAACATTGCATACTAGGCTCCACAAAAATTCATAATTTGAATTTTCAGTGCATTTTAATCTGACACGTATACTATTTTTCAAATGATTTTGTGATGATGAATTGAATGTTATATTATTTTTATAAACTTCAAATTGTATTTTATATATAAAAAATAAAAAAATACATCAATTTACAAAAGCCAAACATATACTGAATGTAATAGTTATTTGGGCCATGTGAGAGGAGCTATTTGAGTACTACAATTTTGAATTAAATATCTGCACGAAAAAGCTAATGAGGCCACACAACAACTGTGGGCTCTGAACCCAACTAATTACGTGAATGCAAAGTGGGCCCATTAACACCTAACACTTACGTTTGTTTGCTCCCATCCTAATCCTGTGCCAATCAATGTTCGGTCGTGGGTATAATCGTAATTTTACATCTCACAATTTACTATATTTATTGCTTTTCGACGGCAAATTGTCAAAAAAACCGCTCGAATTCTTTGAATTCTTCAAGCATGCAAGCGTAGACTTTTCTAATTAATGGACCAATCAAACAATTACTTTTTGGATGTAATTATGTAAATAAAAAAGAAATTATGTAGTTATTGGGTAATTTTATGATTTCATCTATTTTTTTTTGTCGGTACAAAAAAAGAAGCTAAAGGCAGACGGAATAGGATACCCCTATATTATCGTGGCTCAACCAGTGGCGTAGACCTGCCAGAGGGAACGGAAAATTGAGGGAGAAGAAGATGCGAGACCCGCCAAATTATCAACGGCAAAATAAGTCTCACTATGCACGTGTTGTATTCAAATTTGTCAATCCCATTGAACCATGCTTCGAATAGTCTTAACAAACGACTCATGAGTGCCGAGAGTTAGCCATCTAAACAGACCTTCCAAGTTAATTATATTGGGCAAAATAAATCAAGTGATACATTGGCATAAAGAAAAAAAAAAACATTAATACCATCTCTAACTCAAATTCTTAATTAAAATTAGTCTTATACTGCAAAATAAATGAATTGCAAAAAAAAAAAAAAAAAAAACTATTAACCTCCATATTCTATGGCAATAAACCTGCCTAGACTAACCCACACAAACCGCCCAAAATTTCACCACCTCAGACCATCACCGGTTTACATAAACCGGGTTTTCCCCAAACCTAACCTACAAAAACCCATCGGTTCGCGAGCTATGATCCACAGATATCTCCTTCCTCCGGCGCATCTCCAGCACTTTCCGGTGGCTGTTCGAGTGCAGCTCGTTCGAAAACGTCGGGCTGAAAGCGGGCCGGTACTCGGGAAACAACCTGCCCGACTTGTATCGAACTCCGCACGCGTTGCAGAGCGTTTTTGGGCCCAGCGGCCCACTCCGCCACTGTGGAGTCTTCTGCACTTGGCAGTGCGTGCACTTCCGTCCCAAACTGCCTTCGTTCTCGGCCTTTCGCTTGCGGGCTGCGGGTTTTTCAAGCCCCAATAACCGCTCGGGGGCCCAAACAGGGTTCACGGGCTCGACAGGGCATAAAGTTGTGGAGCCGGCGGGGCTTGCCGGCGGCGGAGAGAGAGTCCACGGCCGGCTGCTCGGTTTTCTCGAGCGCGTGGTCCGAGGCTTACCGGGAATTGGTACCGGGAAGCGTGGGGCACGGGTTTTCCCGGCAGTCCGGCTGGCCGGGTCAGGCCGTTTGCCGGAATTCGCTCCGGTTTGAAAACTTCCGGTCGGGCATAATAAGGAGAGGCCCGACGTGGAGTCGTCCACGAATTGTGATAGCCACTCTAAGCTCTCCAAATCATCAACCTGCAACAAACACGAACGGTGAAATTAAAAATAAATAAATATATAAATAAGGCAACAATCAAAACCATAAAAAAAATGGTGCAATTTTTTTTTTTTTATTTTTTTCACATGAGAAATTAAACACTTATAGCGACGAAATTACATTCGTATTACCATTTAATTTTCTCCATTTTTATTCAACTCGAAGAAATTCTTTTTTTACCTCTCATTTTTTTTTTTCTTTTCTTTGGGTAAAAAATTGAAAGAGTAAAATACTTTTTGCAATATGAAAAATATGGAATATATGTGTTTTATTTTTTACTTTTCAAAGTTATTACCATTCATAATTCACAACTTGTCTCATACAATATGGAAATGGCTACCGTCTCTTTACGGAACCATTTCGTCCAAGTTTGTAATCGTTAGATCATCATGTAACCATCAGAGATAATCGATCTAACAGTTACAAACTCAGAACGAATGTTTCCGTAACATGACCGTAACATCTTCACATACAATAATTTGATAGGGGGGGATAAAATTACCGGCACGGCAAGTTCGGACAGGCTGTCAATCTCGTCGGCGCCGGTAAAGCTCGAAGAGGAATTATTGGACAATTCCTTTTGAGGAAACTGATGATCTTCCTGGGAAAAACAGAACCCCTCTTGAAAATCTTTTTCGGGGAGGTCCAGGTTAAGGAGGTCCTCCACCGGGAAATCATCCGCTGCGGTGACGCTGTTGATCTTCGTCAGGCACCAAACGTCGTCGTTTTGAAACATCTGAGGGTGGTTCGTCTTCACCGCCATTTGAGCCAGGAAACTCGATTTCAGAGCTCTTGCCTCAATACACTCCATAAAAATCTCTATATATTTTAACAAAAACTGCAGAAAAAAAAAATAAAGACAAAATCAAACGAAACGCAGATTTAATTATCTATAAATAAAGGGAGCATAAAATTAAAAAAAAATTAAAATTACCCAATTATTTGCAATATATATTAATTTGATTTAAGCTAATTTAATTTACCTGAATTATTTATGGGCTTGTGCAAGCAGGACTTTGGAGAGAGAAGGTGTGGGCGAAAATGGTGGTATATCACTGATTTTTTTCTTTCTTTATATTTGCTTTTAATTTTTTTTTTTTTTTTTTTTTTTT